GCCGCAGCAGCAGCAGCAGCAGCAGCAGCAGCAGCAGCAGCAGCAGCAGCAGCAGCAGCAGCAGCAGCAGCAGCAGCAGCAGCAGCAGCAGCAGCAGCAGCAGCAGCAGCAGCAGCAGCAGCAGCAGCAGCAGCCATCATCAAGCAAGCAACAGCAGGCCCCCAGGCCGGAGAGCCCCCGCCACGCGCGCACCTTTGGCACAACGCCAGTCTTGAGGGCTGCAAAGGTGGCGTTCTTAAGGTCCAGCACCCCCGGCTTGCCGCCCACGCCCGCCGCGCAGCCGTAATTGGCCCGCAGGCTCCCCATAAACTTGGCATCCTTCATAGGGGCAGGGGCGCCCTCGTAATGCACCACGATGGGCGAGTTGATGCCCGTGAGAGTGGTGACGTCGAGCCAGTAGTTGCCCACCGGCCTGTCGGCCGCGAGCACGGCGTCGACGCGCTCGCCGGACGAGATGACAAACGCGTCGGCGGCGCGCGGCGCGACGGGGCGGCCGTCAAGGGCGATGATCTGCAGCTTGTGGGCGCCGCCCGCGGGGCCGCCGACCTTGAACGCCCAGGAGGACTGCCCGCCGATGAAGCGCAGTCGGTAGCGCTTGCCGGGCGCGACGGTGAGCACGAGCGGCGGCTGCCCCGGGCCGCCGAGGCCGTTGGCCTGCATGCCGCCCCAGGGCGCGTCGCTGATGTCCTGGTCAAGCACGCTGACCGGGCAGCTCGTCGGCGGCGCAGCCGCATCGGCGCCCCCCATGCCGCCCATGCCGCCCATGCCGCCCATGCCGCCCTTTGCGGCGGCGCCGCCGGCGCCGGGCATCGCCATGCCGCTGGCCTGGAGCTTCTTGAGCTGCTGCCCGACGGTTGTTGAGAACACGTCCGCCAGCATGATGACGTGGGCATCAAGATCATAATCATACAGGTGCTTCTGGGGGTCTTGGGGGTCGTCCACGATCAGGGGGCCCCTCAAGCCGTCCCCAAACTGCTCCCCGGTGTGCGAGTGATACCAATAGGTCCCCGCAGGCGCAGCCACAAAGCGGTACGAGAAGGTGGCGCCGACCGGGATGGGCGCCTGCGAGACAAACGCGACGCCGTCGGCCCAGGATGAATTGGGCTGGTCCTGGCCGTGCCAGTGGACGCTGGTGCCGTCGGGAATGTCGCGGTTGGTGACGTCGATCTGGACTGGCTCGCCGAGCTTTACGCGGATGAGGGGGCCGACGGCGGTGCCGTTGTAGGCGAGGGTCTGGCAGGGGGCAGGGGGTGTGCGAGTAGGGCATGAGGGTGGGGTGCGGCGGGTGGGAGGGTGTGAGC